ACTACAGAGTTTGCTCATTAAAGATTATTTTAGATTTTACAAAGGGGACTAGACCGGGTAAGTTTGCTAGATTATCATTTGTATTATAAATGCTCTTGACTTTCTATTAGTATTGTCAAACTTATGATTCATAGCTGATTAGTCAAATATCATTATTAATATTCAAACTATTAACTAGATCACAATTGAAAAAATAGTTTTATTAGCAAATTGTATCGATAATAATAGAAAATAAAATAGACGACGGATGTTATTGTTTTTGTAGAACTAAATTGTGCACCTGTTTGAAAATTTGCTTTTTTTGTTCACACTTTTTGATATTTGATATGTGAGCAACATATAATATAGTCTAAAAATAAAATAACAAAAAAGTCTAAATAAAGTTCATAAAATTTATTACATATACCTACTCAATAGTAGAACATTCAATATTAGCTTTCTAACTTTTTTCTTCTGAAATGCTGTAAATTTTCTTTCCATTTTCATAGTAATCAAAATATTTATTTGAAAATTTTCTATTTAATTTAAATTATTTTGCTAATCCATTGCATATTCTAATTTGATTCCTGTTTTGTTCAAATTATTTGTAGCAAATATTTTATTGCATTCATTTAAATGTCTGTCTTCCTTCTTCGAGTATCACATTATATTATTATTTCTAAAAAAGATTTGATGTTGTTCAGAATAAGCGCTATTATTATTATTTATATTAATTATTAAATGCCCGCAGGCATTACATGTATTATTATATACATGTATTATTATATCAATAAGAATATTGTTATTACAAATTTAAATCAGAAATTTGTTCAAAAAAGATTAATACAAAATAGTTTACGTACTTTTAGTTTGTACTAAACAATAACTGATGAAGTGATTTATCTCAACATTAAAAATTAATTTAATATAAATGATTCATAATAAAATGCTTCATTTATATTTATTTCAATGAGTACAAAAAATATGTAGTTTTGAACGTAAGCATTTGAAATATGATAATGTATTATCACTGGTTTTTCATAATAAATCATCTACATAATTATTACCTTTTATCTATAAATTATAGATATTTTGCATAGATAACAAAATAATTTTATGTTTGTTTTCAGAAATGTCCATTTTGGGTAGATGACAGTCGATGTGCTATGTCACATTGCCATGTAGAAGCATGCCAACAAGAAGATATTCCTGCGGGTCTGAAACGAATGAAACAAAGATATCAGGTTTTGTTTTTAAAATTGTATTTCTTACTAAGATAATATTTTAGATTCATGCCATTTTTACTAGTCATATTTTGGGATATAGTTTGAATTTGTTTAATCTTTATATATGTATACATATATTCTTCATTAGTATTTGTCATACTAAATTTCCTGTTTTTATCTCTACATTTATCAGTGAAATAAGGTGATTCATTTATGAGTAATCTATTTGCACCTGTCATATCACTCATATTTTCTTTGTTGCCTAGGATCCAGATCAATCTCAAACTTTCTGTGATGACTTTGATACCAGACTGGGATATTTAAATATGAGCATTAGTCCAGCTGCTCACAAAGGATTTGAAGAATGGGCTAAACATGATGATGCACAAGTAAATATACCTGTTAAATATTTTTTATCATCTTTTATTTATTGAGTTTTTAATTTCAGGATAATTTTTGTCTCTTAGATGAAGATGAACCTTCAGCTCAATATGTAGATTTATTATTAAATCCTGAAAGGTATACGGGTTACAAAGGATTTTCTGCAAATAGAATTTGGAGGAGCATATACATGGAAAATTGTTTTAGGTATTTTATTGTAATATTGTCTTTCAATAATTCAATTTGAATTGAACTTCTTTACAATTCTATGTTAAATTTTATTTTCAGACCAAAAAATTGCATGAACTATAATTCTTTTATTCCTTATAATGCTTTATCGGCCCAGAATGGAATGTGCCTGGAGAAAAGAGCATTTTATAGAGTACTGTCAGGGTTGCACACTAGTATAAATATTCATTTATGTGCTAATTACTTATTATCAGGTAAAGTGTAAAAATATTTATTATATCTCTATGATATAATTATTGTTATATATTTATTTAGATAAGGAACAACCAGGGTTTGTTGGCCCTACAACTGGACTTTGGGGCCCTAATATAGAAGAATTTAGGCATCGTTTTCATCCAGATTATACCAATGGTGAAGGGCCTCATTGGTTAAGAAATTTATATTTTATATACTTAGTAGAATTAAGAGCTTTATCAAAAGCTGCACCTTATTTATTAAGAGAAGAGTATTTTACTGGCAATGAATCAGAGGATAAAGATGTAAAAGCAGCTATTACCGATTTGTTAAAAGTGGTTCAGTAAGTACCTATATATGACTTTTTTGGTACAATATACTAACTATAGCCATTTATTTAGGCTTACATATTTAATATATAATTTTTAATATCAAGCAATATTATTTCTATTTCTACTTTATTACAGGTCTTTTCCTACTCCTTTTAATGAACGTACTATGTTCAATGGTCACACAACAAAATTAAAAAGAGAATTCCAACATCATTTTCAAAATATTTCTCGTATAATGGACTGTGTGGGTTGTGACAAGTGTAAGCTTTGGGGAAAGCTTCAAGTTCAAGGATTAGGAACAGCATTAAAAATTTTATTCTCTGGAAAATTTGATTCATTTGATGAATATGGTAATAATGGTGATTTTTATTTTTGTAATAATAATATGTGTACTTTACAATATAACTATTTTTGTTTAGGAATAGATTTGGTAACTTTGGGACGAAGTAAATTTCAATTACAAAGAACTGAAATTGTATCACTATTTAATGCTTTTGGAAGGTAAATAGGACAAAACAATTTATTACAACTCTGTCATAATATCAAGTTAAAATTATATTGATAAATATTTTAGATTATCAACGAGCATAAATGAACTGGAAACTTTCAGAACAATCAAGAAAAAAAGGTAGCACATACTATATAAGTCGAGTTATAAGATTACATCACATAGTGGTATAATGTTTTAATATAAATATTTATTAATTATTTATTATATTCAAAGATGTTTATTATAAAATATTTGTTTAAATAAATATGATGTTCGCAATTACTCTTTTAATAGCAACTATTATTAACATTAACTCACATCGATTGCTAGCTCTTCATACATGATTCCCACTAGGTCAAGCTGGTTTCAGTAAATATACAAACACTCTTAACAAAAAAAACGTTTGCATTAGATATAATTTACACATATCACACTGGTATTTTAAACTAATATCTATATATTTAGTATTTTCTTAATTCAATGTCGATATATGGAAAATTAAGTTCAAATGAAGTGCGCGTGTTTCATAATTTTAAAATTATGAAACGCAAAAATTTAAATGGCGGGATCGTTTGACGTGCAACTGCAGCGCCAAAGTATTGTCACGTGACCAGAATATTTACTACCGCTAAAGGTTTATTTTTGCTTGGTTGTCATGATTTGAATATACTTTTGTTTTTTTCTACTTTTATAATTACTTTTGCTTTCTAATATGAACTCAAATAATTTTCTATATTGTTCAAGTAGTACTGATCCAAATTGTTTAATCAAAACAATATTTGGTGGAACAGTTTTGATATTCATAGTATTAAGTATCACAAACTTTTTTCGGAATCGATCCAGAAAATGTGCGAATCACATTATCCATTCAGAACAACTGACATTAGACACTTCAAACTCAAACTCAAACTCAAACTTTCACTCAAATTCTGATGCACAACCACACCCTCAAAGGTAACTGACATTTCTTAATTTTAAATTATAAAACTTATCTGAATAATGAAGCGAATAATTGTATTTTCTTGATTTTTTTCATTTTTGTTGAAAAGAATTGTAGACTATGCCAAAATTCCGAGCACCCGCGTCACAAGATCTATGACTGCTGCAGGACGCGCTCAACTCTACGACCAACTAGAAATTCCAAAAAGAACAAGATTAAAAACCCGAAAATAAAAAGATAAATACACCCCAAAAATATTGACGAGACACAAAATATAAAAATTTGTTTCTCAATGCCTAAGACTTGGCAAGATAACGCATTTATATCAATTACTAATTAAAAAAAATTTACATTAGTGAACATTGAACATTTAAATTAATATGAAATGAAAGTGGATTCTAGCGCAATTTAAAATTAGTTCAAAATTGATGCATGACGAATCGCGTCGTTAATTTATATATTTTTATATTGGTCTGTAAGAAGTATTCAAATAAAAGAAATACCTACACAAAGACTTCCCATTTCCCAACAAAAAAATAATGAACAGTGAAAAAGCAATCAAAATAATATATTTGGCCGTTACACAAAAAAATTAAATGGTGTTTCCCTCTATTCATCGGTAAGAATATATCATTGACAGTTACAATATGAATTGACAGCTAGCTGACAGTTCAATATTGCACAATATGATGGTATTTTATATTTTATAACTTTTTATATATCGTTATACAGATTGTTTAAAAGATAATTATTTCTAATATGGATGAGAATCAAGAAAGACAGTGTGACGAATTATCTACTTTAGAAAGCATATGTGGGGAGAATGAGTTTTCTTATTCTATTCCTGACAAAATTCCTGTAAGTTTTATGTCCATATATATCATATGGAGTATTTTAATTTTTTTATTTATTAGGTCGGATATGCCGATATATGCGTGGATTCATCGCCAATTGAAGTCTTTTTTGTTGATCCCAAATCACATAAAACATCTTCAATAACGGTGAGTTTTTTTGGAGGTTATGAATTTTTTATTTAAGATACTATATATTTTTTATTTAAGTTGAACAAAGAAAATTTAAATAAAAATTATAATATTTTTTTGCTATAGATTATTCTATTCGAATTGACATTATAATTTTTATAATTCTATTACAAATTGATTGAATTAAGGACATTCTCTTTCTTTAAGCCAACCACCAAAGATTAAAAGCAAAGATTTTATTAATTATTTTATTATTAAAGTTAGTTTAAAGTCTGCTCATGAATCTATTTAGGTTTCCTATTTACCACCAATAAGGCTGAATTTTCAATTGCCTAAAGATTATCCAAAATCTGTGTCTCCGAAATTTGTTATTAGTTGTAACTGGCTTACACATGAACAGTTGATAAAGCTTTGTGATTATTTAGATGAAATTTGGAATACGGATCCAGGTAAAACTAATGATAATAAATAAATTAAGCTTATTTGTAGAAGATATTATTTATATATTATTACAACAGGTGAAGAAGTTTTGTATAAATGGATGCAGTTTTTGAAACATGAAACCATGACATTTTTACAAATTAAGGAAATTAATATAACTCAAAGGAAAAAAACAAATTCTGAAAAATCTCCGATCACCACAAATGACTCAGATGTTGATAATGAAAAAGAGAATAAAATAAACAATACCGAGAAAATAGATATATCATTTTCTTCTCAAAAAACTTCAAAAGATTCAAGAGTTTTAATCGATAGAAGTATAGACATGCTCATCACTAATTTGAAAGAATATAATGAAAAATGTCTTTTAGAAGAATTTAATTTAACATATGTATTTTGTGAAATATGTTTTGTATCCAATTCAGGAGCACATTGCATCAAATTCAGGTAATATATTTCATTCAGATTAGAAATTTGGATTTTAGTTTATACTTAAGTTGAATACTATTTGATTTTGCTGATTAATTAATAAGTAATCATTTGGAAAGTTTAGTGAAATATTATAATTAATAATATTTAAATTTCAATTCAAAAATGAGATCTGTAGGTTTGAAATAATAATTATTATAATCTAAATTTATACTTTGATTATAGCTGTGACCATGCTTTTTGTAAATTATGTGTGTCAGAATATTTATTAACAAAAATTAAAGATGGTAATGTCATTGGCATTACTTGTCCAGCAATAAATTGCAAGCAAGAAATCAGCATAGCTCAAATCAAGAATTTAATTTCGCAAGAAAACTTTCTCAAGTAAGTTTAAAATAACATTAATAATTCAATTGTTAATTGTTCTCTTATAATTGAAATTTTTCTAGATTTGAAAAGCTTATGCTTAGTCAAACATTAGATACGATGATGGATATTATATATTGCCCAAGAGTAGTTTGCCAATATCCTGTTACTTACGACCCATCTGAAGCCGTTGCCTCATGTCCAAATTGCTTATATTCTTTTTGTGTACTTTGCAAAAGGGTATATCACGGTGTGGAACCTTGCAAATTAAAACAAGGTGAGTGTTATGTAGAGATATATCTAAAAATGTGTGTAGTAAGATTTTCGTGAAATACAAATATATATTTGAACATATTTTTATTAAATGCGTTTTTTTCAGAGGATAGATTAGCTGTCATTGAAAAATATCAAAACGGAACCGATGAATATAGACAAGAAATAAATAAAAGGTATGGTGAAAAGTATATTAAAAGGTTATTAGAAGATCATGCTTCTGAAGAAACTATAAACAATAGCACGAAACCATGTCCAAAATGTGGAGTTCAAATAGAGGTAGCTTACATTAATTTATTTCCTAATATTTATATATGACAAAATACATATATTTATAATTAACATAAATAATTTAGAAATCGGAGGGATGCAATAAGATGACATGTAACAGATGCCAGACATTTTTTTGCTATTTATGTTCTTCAGTTTTAGACAGAGGTGATCCATATGATCATTTTGCAAATCCTGCTTCAAGATGTTATAATAAATTATTTCCGCATGAAAGAACTGAAGATGATTAAGTAGATGAAATGTTTAACAATATTTTATTTTTTTGATACTATATTTTTAACAATTTTATTTAATTTATTTGTATAAATAGATAATTCCTATATTTATATTAAATTGTATAAATGTAAAAAGACCTATGTTTAAAAAATATATTTTCATAATGAACACTATTTAAAAGTAGTCTTTCAATTAAGGCTGCATTCTTAAAGCTCCATCAACTCGAATCACTTCACCATTTAGAAGAGGATTTTCAATAATTGTTTGTACCATATGAGCAAATTCAGAGGGCTCTCCAAGTCTTTGAGGAAATGGAATAGTTTTTGCCAAAAATGCTCTTACTTTCTCTGGAAGTTGTTGTAGAAGTGGTGTGTTGAATAAACCTTAAAAAAAAATTGCCTTAAGAAGAGGTATGCTATTTATAAATTCTCATTAAATAGTAGCTCTTGTACTCTTCATTTGAAATAAACAGGAAAACAGTCTAAAATTTATAACAATATAGAAGTTGTCTTAAAATTATAGAACTTCAATATTGCAATTACTTTCTTATAATATTCTTTGAAGACTCTCTTTCGTTAAAAATTAAAATTCTCAGAATTAAATAATCGTATTTCCAGTAATACCTGGTGCCAGAGTGACCACTCGAATGCCTTGACTCGCTAAATCTCTAGCAATAGGCAGTGTCATTCCAACAATAGCACCTTTGGACGCAGAATAAGCAGCTTGTCCCATCTGTCCATCATAAGCAGCAACACTTGCTGTGTTTACAATCACTCCTCGTTGACCATCCTTATTAGGTTCATTTACTCCCATCAATCCAACAGACAATCGAATTACATTGAAGGTTCCAACAGTATTAACCTATTCAATTAATGATGAAAAATGTAAGACCATTCGAGTACTGTAAAGCAACAAATTTTTTAAAAAATCATTAAGTAAATGTTATTGCTTTTAAATAATATATTTTTTTAAAAAAAAATTCAGATAATAAACGCAAAGCGATTCTTAGAAAAGCCGGTTAAATGAGAATTGATTCATCTATTTGTAAAAAGTTGGATTTCATTACATTCAAGTTTTTAAGTAATTATGACTCACTTACCATTAGAACTTTTGTAAAATCTTCTAATTTATGAGGCAACTGCTTATTGAAATTATATGTTTTAAATGCTACACCGATACCAGCACAGTTTACAGCAACATCAAGGCGACCAAATTTTTCTTTAGTTAATGCTATTGCTTCCTCAACATCTTTTTCAGATGTGACCTAATAACAAAATGTAAGTTAGTTGGACGTGCAAATATTTAGGCCAAGATTTCTTAGATATTGAAAAATTACAATAATACATATATACATCTCAAAACTGCATAAACTCTATTGTTTTTCTAAAAATGATCTACTTCTGAAATACTTACATCAACTGGTGCATATAAACAATTATCTCCAATATCTTTAGCTACTTGAGATCCACTTGATTTAGGTAAATCACATAAAACTACTCGGCCACCTTGTTGCACAATTCGCTCCACAGTGGCCTTTCCCAAACCAGAAGCACCTCCAGTAACAAGACCTACAACGCCCTGAAAAGAAATGACATTAAATTTCAAGCCACAAAGGATGAAAAAACAATTTAAAAATATTATTAAATTATTTAGATGCTCTATAACTAGGTTATAATTCAAACTTTTATGTTTGTTCGATAGTACAAAAATATTATCCCACCTTCAACATTTTGAGAGATGATTTGAAAAAATTGTTGTGAATATAAAATATATAAAATGAAATCTAATCTGTGTCTTTTCAAGATAATATTTTACAAAATTTGAATGACATTGTTTTGACCGCGTGATATTCCAAAGTAGCCAAAGACCTTTGACAATAAACAGGGTCAAACTTCATTGCTTTTGATAGTTTGTTTTGGTTGAATAAATTAAAATTAATAAAGCATAATCGATGCATAACTGCACACGTAAATTTACAATTGAAATATTTAGGAAAATATTCATCAAATAATTGATTTAATTTTTTTGAAATATTGAAACTCGCAATTACATTTTTGAATTTAAATGAAAACCAATCTTTATAAAAATAATTATTACAAAAGTAATTACGTATATATTACATAATACTAGCCATTTTTAATTATTTCAATAGTAATTAATTCAATTTAATCGAAAATGATTACTGAATTTCGATTTCCTAGATAGAAATGCCCTGTCTGCTTTGGAAAACAGAGTGTGGCGGTGTTTACAAAATTTATATAGTGTTCTTTTCTTAAATCATAGATAAATAAGCATTTAATAGCAAATTTTAAATAGTTAGTCAAATTTAAATTGCTTGTAGGTAAAAGTATTTACAAAATATAATTTATGTGAATGAAGATTATAATTACTTAATATTTTAAATTAGGATTGTAATTACTTATTATTTTAAATATTATAATTTTTTTATATGATATAAAATTTTATATGATAAAACATTAATGAATTTACTTCTTATTTGTTTAAATTTTATTATGAATTTTATAATGTTAGATTTTATGTGTTATTTTTTCATAAATTTATATTTTAGCGGGCTTTGTATTTCAGTTGTTTTCGTTTCTTAGGTTGGCATTACGACTGTCACTGTGCGGCCTTTGACAGTAGTTAAACAAATTTGACAGCTACGATCATACAAAGCGATTAATAACATTCATGCAAAATTCGATTGAATAATGTGTTATTGTGAAATGATGCGTTTAGAAAACATGCGTTAAGCTTAAGGAATTAAGTTAATTCATGTTTTAGTTATATATTACATTATAACCTTTTTTCATAATTGAATGCTCTTAGATCTAATTAAGTAAGGGCGATAACTTATTTTGAAAAAATGCGTTTAGAAGTGTAGATGTAATTTTATTTTTGGCACTTATTTAATAAATATATAAATTGTGGTCTTATCTGACAATGGATCTCAGTAATAACGAAAATGGTGAGTGAAACCGTTCATTTTGACATTATTACTTTGTGCAATATATTTTTTGTATAATATATAACTTTATTTCTTCATTAACTTTAATTATCTTCTGTATTTTTTATTCTTCATGGAATTGAATCCTACAATTCTACTTCTGAATGAATGATTGACAAAATGGCTAAATATTACTACGTTTTATTTATATCGTTATTTTAATTAATATTAAAATTGATTCAAATCTAAGATTAATAACCATCAGTGGTAACTAAATTAAATGTCAAATACAATAATTGGCGGAATAATTTAGGCTTCTGTTAATTTACTATACAAGTGATTGATTAATTTTGTATAAATTAATTAATTCATATGTAAGCTATTAATTGGGATTTTTTACTAGAATTATCTTGATCTATATCTTAATCTTTTCAGCATTAGATTAATTTTTATTTGTTTTAGATTCATACGACTACGACACGCCTTCGGATACGGATCATGAGTCTAGCCATGTAGCAGGACATGGCCGAGCTTCCAGTGGGTCGCAAACATCACGTGGAAGTGATGGCTCATCTTATCAGCGCAACAGTCAAGTGTACCAACAGCAGATATCAGGTTCCTCCTCTGCAGGAGGTGATAGACCACCTGATGTTACTGGTATCGGTGATACTGTGATGCTGGAAATAATTCATCAAGCTGGTCTTCTGCACCGAAAATGGGTTAGAAAATTTCAAAAATATTTTTGTTGTCTTAATACTAAGATAATTTCTGAGATAAATCAGTATTTCATATTATGAAAATTGATTATATAAATTTGATCATGCTGTGACCTGTAACTTCTAATCATGGTTATAACACAACTGTATTTTAAGTAAGAGTATTTATTATGGCAGAAAGGAGAAAGAAATGTATTTTTAAGTATTTTCATTAAATTAAAATACATATTTATGATTTTATATTGCTGCGCTAAACTTATTTCAATAATATCTTTTCTAAATCAGGAAGTTTTTCGGAGAAAAATAATTCAATAAAAACTAGAAAACAATTATTTGATTTACATCAATAATAAAAAAACTTCTTAAGTGCGAAACGTTACAGTACATTTGCCCTATGTTTGTTTATTGATACAATCACATTCATATTAAATGATCTTATATGAAATACTTTTAATTAATATAGATAACTTTTATTATGTGTATTTATTTCCAGAAAGCAAACATTCTACGGTAAGCAGCGGCAGCAGTCGTGGTACTCTGCTTCCGTGGTGCGCTGGTGCGAACCGAGAGCGCGTTGCTTTAGTTACGCCTGTGCAAACTGAATCTTCAGCGGGATCTGATCTTTTGCCAGGAGAGTTCGTTATGAGATCTTTGTTTGCTGATTTTGCGATTCAAGCCGATCGCAAAATGGAAACTGTTATGGCTGAACCACCGGTAAGGACAATCAATAACTTAATTGCACATTAACGCCAGTTTCGTTCAATTGATAATGGTCTATAATTAATAAATTTTAATTACTAGACATTATAATCTTATATATAAAAATGGAGCTCTCTTTTCAAATGTCCGAATAAAACTCGAAAACGGCTGAATCGATTTGGCCAGTCTTAGTCTTGAAAAATTCGTGCCAATCCAGAGAATGTCCAAAAGGTGAGAAATTATTTCAAATCCGCGTAGAAACTTTACATTTATAATTTGAAATTTTTGTAGAAGCGTAATTTAAATAGAACAATGGACGGTGGCAATTTTGTGAAATGTCAAATGCTTTTGACAGATGATGTTCAATTACGTTTAATAGGATGTTTTGCGCGAATATTTTACGACAATATAAGTCGAAAGACAAAAAAAAACTTGGATTGGATTTTACCATGTTTTCTATAGAAAGTATATAAAACTTCCAGTTTGATTGTATTGACAAAATATCGGTAATCTTTGAAAATCCATAATAAAAGCATTTTCTTCCGTTAGTAGTTTTTTAGTATTAGTTAAAAATGTAATTATTTTGTAAATACCTTTGAATTAAAATAAGGTTTTAAACGTATTTGCCACCTGACCGTTCCAAGTTACCCCGCCTATAGGGTAAAAAGGTGCCGATAACGAATTTTTGAAAGACATAAAAAAATACATTTCTACAAATGATGAAGTAGATGGGAATTTTACTGAACGTAGTCAGATAATTGTTTGTTTATTCATCGAATGTTACTTGAAACTTCGTAACTTAAAAATTTAAAAAAAAAAAATGAAAAAAAGATTAAAACAATTTTTTCCCCAAAAGCAATTATTTTGTTAAAACAAGCAGAAAGTTCTTTGAATCATTCAAATCGGACACTTAGTTCTCTCAAGAACTGCCATTTTTTGTACATTTAGCTCTATCGGAATATCGGAGTATCGGAGTATAGGAATGTCGAAATATCTGAATATCTGAATATCTGAATATCTGAATATCTGAATATCTGAATATCTGAATATCTGAATATCTGAATATCCGAATATAATATCGAATCCGAATATCCGAATATCCGAATATTCGAATATCCGAATATCTGAATATCCGAGTATCCGAATATCCGAATATCCGAATATCCGAATATCCGCGTATCCGAATATCCGCATATCCGAATATCCGAATATCCGAATATCCGAATATCCGAATATCTGAATATCCGAATATATCCGAATATCCGAATATCCGCGTATCCGAATATCCGCATATCCGAATATCCGAATATCCGAATATCCGAATATCCGAATATCCGAATCTCGGAATATCCGAATCTCGGAATATCCGAATCTCGGAATATCCGAAATCTCGGAATATCCGAATCTCGGAATATCCGAATCTCGGAATATCCGAATCTCGGAATATCGAATCCGAATCTCGGAATATCCGAATCTCGGAATATCCGAATCTCGGAATATCCGAATCTCGGAATATCCGAATCTCGGAATATCCGAATCTCGGAATATCCGAATCTCGGAATATTCGAATATCCGAATATCCGACTTTCGAATATCCGGACTTTCTATTATCCGAATATCCGGACTTTCGGTTATCCGGACTTTCGATTATCCGGACTTTGGTTATCCGGACTTTCGATTATCCGGACTTCGGTTATCCGGACCTTCGGTTATCCGGACTTTGGTTATCCGGACTTTCGGTTATTCGGACTTTCGGTTATCCGGACTTTCGTTCGGTCATCCGGACTTTTGGTCATCCGGACTATTTTGTTATCCGACTTTCGGTCATACGGACTTTCGGTCATCCGGACTTTCGATTATCCGGACTTTCGTTATCCGGACTTTTGGTTATCCGGACTTTCGGTTATCCGACTTTCGGTTATCCGGACCTTCGATTATTCGGACTTTTGGTTATCCGGACTTTTGGTTATCCGGACTTTCGGTTATCCGGACTTTCGGTCATCCGGACTTTTGATTATCCGGAATTCGGATTATCCGGAATTATATTATATATCATAAATGTAAATTAAATCCAAAAAGATGATGTCACCAACACTTTTCTAACTTTTAGAAGTTTTTCCGGGGTCCGGAAAGTCCTGATAATCGAATGTCCGGATAATCGAATGTCCGGATAATCGAACGTCCGGATAATCGAACGTCCGGATAATCGAATGTCCGGATAATCGAATGTCCGGATAATCGAATGTCCGGATAATCGAATGTCCGGATAATCGAATGTCCGGATAATCGAATGTCCGGATAATCGAATGTCCGGATAATCGAACGTCCGGATAATCGAACGTCCGGATAATCGAACGTCCGGATAATCGAACGTCCGGATAATCGACGTCCGGATAATCGAACGTCCCGGATAATCGAACGTCCGGATAATCGAACGTCCGGATAATCGAATGTCCGGATTAATCGAATGTCCGGATAATCG